TCTATCCTTTAATCATTATCGACTCGTTGTAGTATCAATCACGAATTACATAGTGGCAATATAATGATCTTAAAATAATGTAATGACGCTAGTGGCCTTTAAAGGACCAGTATAATTTGACACCAACATTACCTATACTCGACTTTATTATATAAGCGATAAGAGTGTCGAAATAAACAGCTAAATAGCCAGAAATATATGAGATCATAGCTGGCTTGATTTATTCCTTTTAACCGTCTTGACCCACATTCGTGTATTGCTTGTAATTGTTAATAAGGATAATTAAAATGCGTGTAAAACACTCGCACAATCAAAGAGTTAGTAGGCCAAGAGTGTACAATATCATATTGTTTTATATTAATCATTAGGTTAATTTGTATCTCGAAATCTCAGTAATCTGAGACGAGAATTGAGATCAACTATGTATAAGTATGATATACAAATATAAACATTCATACTGCTATTTCAACTTTATATTTTATCTGAGTTATATATTATAACATATTACAACACTAGCAGGACCTGGCCACGTGTCGCTGTGGCACGCTTATAGCTTCGCAATTTAATTATTTATGACAAATTATATTCCAATGTTAAATAAATAAGACTTAAAATGAAAAAATTGATGTTTGTTTGAAAATCGTTATTTTGTAATAAAAAAGGAAATAATCGGGATAAAATCATATGTTTCAAGTTGGAACAAATCACACATTTAAAAAAATTACGTTAAGGTCGTATAAGGAGTTTCATAGTTCACCGCGGACTAACATCGTGACACGGGAATTCTATATACACATACATATAACGTAGATTTCTAATGTTCAAATAAAAAAAAAGGTGCTTATGGTTTCTTAAAACATTACAAGCTTTTATTACAACTTCTATTTTATTTTTAAAACAATCATAATATTCGTCCGTAAATTCTAATTCTATATTTCTGTAAGCTTCAAAATTTACTAACATTAAGACATCTTTAAGCTTTCGTTTGATTAAAAGCTTATTTATAAGCACTGCCGGCCATGACAGTAAATGAATTATTTTCTAAGTAAAATATCATTATTATTCTTGGAAAATAATTCATTTTCAAGCACTATTTACAGAAAACTACTAACATTTAAACACTTTTAGCTTATAATTCTGTAATAATTATCATTTATCATAATTTATCGCTTAATAGTTAATAGGGTACCTACAGACTTTCATTAATCTAACCTAACGTATAGCTCATGCTACTTGCAGAGGTCACCATGTAATAATACCTTGTTACGATTCAAATATATGGCCTATAATTTTACATTATCTTAAAACTAAATTCATATTCTACACTAACGACTCACCCTCGCTTCCCTCGGGTTTCTTTAAATTGATATAACTTTTTTATTTATGAACTGATTGAAGTAAAACAGAAAGCTTACCACAATTACATTAATGAAAACCGCACCCAAATCGGTTTCGCCGTTTCTGAGATTAGCGCGCACAAACGCACAGACAAACAGATAAAGAATCTAAATTTTTAGGTTTTATTGCGTTAATAAAGACCTACAATAATAGTTTTTCTCAAATATCTTCCATGTACAGACAGCGATCAGTTACACTTTTATTATAATAATGTATAGAATAAAAATTTAAGATTGATTCTATATAAGAAACTTATGCCTAAATGATTTGCCTAATATATTTTTTTCTACACGTCACTTAAAACGGTTTCGCTAGCGCTAAAAATTGGTATTACAACAAATTTTGTATGACGATGAATGGTTAATAAAGCATTCTGTAATTAATCAAAAAACTTTCAATAATTACATATACATTTATATAATTAGTATTAGTTTAATAAACTTAATTCATCACGAAAACCTCACAAATTTTACTCGTTAAAAATACGTAAGCTGTAACTACGAAAAGCCACAACAAACTTAATGACCAAAAATCACCCTGGGGTCCGATTTTAAGCGCAGAATACATAATTAGCTTTCATTAACATCTACCAAGAGACCACGACAAAACACCACACATTTTATACTATTACGATACGTTTTTTTGATTAGCCCTAATTAAATGGAAACTACCAAAACAGAATTTATTTCTACTATTTTCTACCACCTAATTGTCTTATAGGTGTGACAGCCATTATTTTAATTGCGAACTGTAGCTTTAATTGTTGCTTACATTTCTTTCTATGTGCTTTTAATGATGCCCTATAATGTATTATATAATAGCGTTCTTATTTGCCTTTTCTACGATATCACAAATTACTAGTTCTTGTATTTAATTATGGTAATATGAACTTTAATACATCGTTTTAAGGATGTAAATAGCGTAAAATATCTAATGGCAGACTACGAGGTCTCTATTCGTAGTTAATATAAGGTTTGGGCTTAAAAGAATAGTTCAACTTACGTGACTACTTTAAACGTTCAGAAATCGAGTGTGTTTATTCTGTCACGGTAATGGCGGTGTAAATTTTCTATTCAATTTAATTACGAATATGGGTATTTGATACTGTATAGATATATACAATATTATGCTTATAAATGTATCAGAGTGAGGAACGATACATTTTAGTATTAAATAGTTTGTATAATAATAAATTTCTATCGACTCAGCCTCGCGTCGCTTGGGTTCGTCCATACTTACGTTTTAGCGTTTAGTATCGATTTCTCAGAGATGAGATATTTTCTCGCTGTAAAAAGTATCCTATATGTTGACCCGGATAATCAGCTATCATCATACCAAATTTCATCAAAATCCCTCTAGTGGTTTTTCCGTGATGCGACAACAGACAGACAAAAATTCTAAGAACTGTAGAGTCGGCCTCTGTATCGATAATAATACCTATTACAATAAGATTTTCCAAAAAATATTTAATGTACAGATTCGGATTAGTTACAATTTTATTATATGTATAGATAAGTTTTTTTAAAATATCATGTAGAAAGTACTTTCATTTATTCAATAACATAAAAAAAAATACAAAAAAATATAAAAATCGTTTTAAGATAAGATCTTTGTAAGATTTCATAGTTTACATTTCGTAAATTAAAGAAAAAAAATTTAACTCTTACCTGCGACTTTACTTCTATAGTACTTGTTTGTCCACAATAATTACGACATTTTATGTGAAAAAGCGTAGACTACAATATACTATAATATATCTAAAATCTGTTGGTTTGGGCTCTATTACATAATAAATATTTGATGCCAATAGAATAATATGATATCTATATATAATGAGTAACCATATAATTTTCGTTTGCGAAAGCAGCAAATCTACGAAAATTCTTTACCAACTGTTTTCAATTTTCGACATAAAAGTGTTTTATGTTATATGTTTGGCATTGTAAGTTGTTACTAGATGGTGCTGCATCGCATTAAACTCTACCCCGTTCAACCGATCGCTATGAAAATTAGTACACATCGGTATTTGAACACCTAGAACATTTTCGAGTTGTACATTTATGCAAAGGCGAGTGAAAAATAAAGCAAGTATTTATACAAAAAGAACCCTAAATGAATTCATCGATTTTCCAGTATTTAAATATATAAATAGATATTATCATACACATTTTCGGGTTTTATGTAACTTTTAAAGAGTTATTTACAAAAAACTTTTATTCTATATGCACACCTTTAACTTGATTTTAAATCGTAAAATCACATACACGTGATACCTACACGATATTCAAATTTTTCTAACAAAATCCACCATTTTTTTCATGTTCGAGTACCTACAGTGTATTCGTACAACATACACGTTAAAATCTTTTGATAGAGTAACAAATTAGCCAGACGCACTACTTACCATACTGTACCTATGGGGGTATTTTTACATAGTTTTTAGTCTCTTTTTTAAGCCATTTTCCATGGTCCGCTCGGGCGCCCCGTCCCACGCACGTTTTCTTTTTTTTTTTAAATCAGTAAATTGCATATTTGAAAACTACTGCCTGCCCCAATGTACCCTGATTGAACGGGTGAGTGTGGTTATCGGTACTTGCTTTCATTCGTACACCAATTTATTTTAAGGTAAGGATTTCTATAAGAATTATCTATAGAATTCACATGCTCTTACTAAAATATGCTCTACAATTTTGAAAGCTCTACGGTAGAGTCACTTTTGTATAACTTATGTACCATAAATATTGTTGAATCAATTCTTTACATTGAATTAACGATTTCGACTAATATTCACAATTTTTAAGCTAAAACGTGTAATCGTTGGTTTATTGTTTTTTTCTTGAAATTGCATCTGAAACGCTCTGGTATACAGCGAGCGTTGAAAGGGTTTGCCGGTAAAATGTGGCTTAAACGATTCGCAGCCGGCAATGTTTTTATTTTATGTACGGCAATAGCAAATGCATACATGACTGCAGTTTTATGTAACAATCATTGTGGAAATTATATCGTTTTTTTTTTAACTTCAATTAGATAAAAAATAGAGTGAAAGTTTAACTGAAAAGCTTTCAAAGCTCAATAGTATAAAAATCAGTTTGTGAATTTAATCTGCAAGTATGATCTTGTAAGCTCATTGCTATTAATGTAAAAGTTTTATGTCGAAGGAATATTGCAAAAAAATATGTAAAATGTAGTTTGAAGAGGACAATCGTCGTGTCAATCGCAACGGTTGGCATTCCGTTTCCTTTGTCTACCTTGTTAAGTGTATTTCGTACTGCATGTAAGCATACGTTTGCTTAAAAAAAAATTAAACGCAGTTGTGGCCCAATGGTAGATTGTGGCGGAGAGGAGCAGGTTCAAATCCAGAGTTTCCAGCCTCTATAAAAATAATACGTAAATTCGACTCATAAACTAAGTAATTTAATTGTCGTATATAAGAAATACAATTTTCATGCTAAAATATTAAATTATTTGTAATGGAATAAAAATACGCCTTTATAAATGTAATTATCAATAAATAATCGTTCAACCCTTGATAGCTGACAATAGTGATTTTAAAATTTGATTTTAATACTCGAGTGTTCTGCAATAGATTCAGTGGAGTGCTCATGCGCTGCTCGGCGGGGAATTTGTTCGATGACGTCATTACAAGCGTAAATAAAAATAATAATTTTCGTAAATAATGAAAAATTTCATAGAAATTTGTTAGCTAGTTAAAAATAACGATGGTTTCAATTGTTTTAAAATTAATGCTCATCTTTAAAGTGGTCTCAAAATATAATGGAGCATTGACTATCAAAATTTCGTTATCAATATAATAACAATACATAATGAAATAACTAACAAGTAACTATAAAACAATGGGTATCACCACACAAATAGAAAATTTAAGCTTTATTTTATTTCATTGTAAACGTACCGTGCATCATAATCATAAATATTTAATAAACCTAATTAAATCTAAAAACATTTAAAGCTTCTGAGAACTTATATTAAAGCTTTGTTAAATTCTTCACAAGCTTTATAATAATAGAATACAGTAAAGGAAAACTAATAATATCTAGTACTAAGTAAAACTAGAAAAACAAACGGTCTCACACTCATCCCGCGCTAACCTCGTTACAGAACGATAAATGAAACGTAATTGGTAGGAAATTACGCAATAAATGGGAGGTTATTATTGAATTTAATGTCAAATTAATCGTGAGCCCCCTTACCATCTGTCGTGTCTGGCCCCCCGCGGTCGATGCTTGAGCAACAATGAATTTTATTATGTTATTTGTATGTTTTAAGTGCTTTTGTTAACGTTTGACTGTAGTCGAAAGTTTCGATCTGCACTTGTAGTACGTGCCAAATAAGTTAAAACAACTTTGTGTAGGACTCGTCCATATGTACAGATGATGTTGGTCATCTTCACACACATAATAAAATTGTAACTAAGCCGAATCTGTACATTAAATATGTTTTGGAAAAACCTATTGAAATAAACATTATTATCGACACAGAGGCTGAATCTATAGTTTTTAGAATTCTTGTGTGTCTGTCTGTCTGTCTGTTACCGCTCACAGAAAAGCCACTGGAAGGATTTTGATGAAATTTGATATGGTGATAGCAGTTTATCCGGGTCAACACATAGAATACTTCTTACCTCGGGAAAATGTCTCATTTCTGAGAGAAAATACAAAAACTGCAATGTAAGAGTATACTAATATGTAAAACCTAAGAATTTGGTTTTTGGTCATCTGAACGCGGGCGGAGCCGCGGGCAATGCTAAATTTCTAAATAAAAATATATATGATTTCAATTCGTCTAATATAGTAGGTACATCTTAAGCTGTGAAACATAGGAGCCTAAAACTTAGCAAGAATCAACTTAATAAAACTTCATAGACCTAGTTAAAGAATATAAATATCCATTTAACAAATAAGCTTACATTTTGAATTGAATATAATGTTCTATGTCTTATGTCGCTATTTGATAGTATGCAATTTTTTATCTAGGTTTATTTTACGAGGGTGGTTGACTACGCACCGTTTGTTTTGTTTACAATTCAACACCCAAATCAAGACAGATATTTTTTTTCATTTTAACTAGATTCATTTAGTTCGAGGAGGAAAAGGAGTTTTTTTATATTCTATATTTCTATAGAAATATATAGATAATATTGTAACATGCACAATAATTGTCTAACTTACAGAGATTAATTATAAAATATTTTGTAGGCTGAATGTATATTCAAACGTCAACTTTAGATACCGTTATGTCATTTTTGATTTTGACGTTTGAATTTACATTCACTAAAAGGGTATAAAAGTGATTGCTAGACAAGTAAATCGGATTCTTACGCGTAACGTCGTGGTGTTAACATTGTGAAATAATAAGTGAATTGTGTGTGTAATAGTGATGTGAAGTGAAGTGATTAGTGTGTTTAAGTGGATAAATATGAGAATAAAAGATACATATTAGACAACTGCTGTCTTTTCTTTGATTCCTTCTGAGCTCGTTTTAGTTCAGAAGTGGGATCGGCAAAAATATATGTATATTTTTGTGCTCCGCCCGCAAGTAATAATCTAAGGTAATTATGGTTGAAAATAATGCATTTTTTTTTTGTTAATGGAATAACTACCTAGTAGTTTTGGTAAAAATGGTTTAAAATATTAACATTTTCTTTTTACCATAATATTTTCTTAACTTTGTTTTTCTCGTTTCTTGGTTTAAGGAAAAGAGTAACATATTAAGATGAAATACCGATTGTTTTGATCAACAACTGAGACTCCTGTCGTCGAGTTTCAGATAATGGAAGCTGAGCCTCACGACCCAGAACGTCGAAGCCTGGTGACTCCAGGGCGATCGCAGCGAAAAGAAAAATCAAGCCAAGGTCGTGCACGCAGCCGGCGACGTAGTCGCAGTCGTAGTCGTAGCCGCAGCCGCAGACGTAGTCGCAGCTGTAGACGTGACTGTAGTCGCAACATCAGTCACAGTCGTCATGGCAGCCGTCGTCGCAGCTGCAACCGCGGCCGCAGCCCAAGTATTAACTTCGAGAACTCGCAGCTGCAACCGCGGCCGCAGCCCAAGTATTAACTTCGAGAACTCGCACAACAGTGCACGAAGTCAAAGCAGGTACTGTGATTTATATATTCAAGAACGTCATCTATATAACGAGAGAAAACGAATACGAGAACTAGAAGATGAATTACAAAAGAAGCTACGAGATCTGGACAGTGATAAACTCCAACCACTTCAAAATAAATCGAACAAACGACAACATGAAGAATCGGTACCACAAACACCATTAGAAGTTTCCCCAAAACGTACGAAAGAACAAACTGATATGTCATATAGTTTTCTTAATAATTTCTTAAAAATAATTGAGTCCAAAGCTAGCGATAGAGATTCGTTTTCTAGTTTAAATAATTTTATTCCTGAGTTTGATCCATTAATTAGAAATCAAACCGTAGAAATGTGGTTAGATAAGATTGATGAATGTGCCGAAATTTATAATTGGAGTGACAAACAAACTAGTCATTATGCTTTACAAAAGTTAACCGGTCATGCTAAATCTTGGTACCAGGGCCTACCTTCTCTTAAGCATAGTTGGTCAGAGTGGAAACAAATGTTACGAGATTCTTTTCCTATAAATGAAAATTATGCAGAATTACTTACTGAAATGCTTAATAGAAGAACACGTTCTGGCGAGTCTCTAGAAATGTACTACTTCTCTAAAATTAATTTACTAAACCGTTGCAAAATTTTTGGTAAACAAGCGGTAGACTGTATAGTTTATGGCATAGAGGATAGAGGTGTACGTGTCAGTGCTCAAGCAGCAAAATTTAATAGACCAGAAGATGTTTTAGAATTCTTTAATATCATAAAATCGCAGACAAAAGAAAATTTAGACGCTAAGAAATTTTTAAGATTCCCAAATAACAACGTTGGTAACTCTTCTCGTGTTAATGAATTAATCAATAAAAACCGACATAAACCAGAATCTTTAACCTGTTTTAACTGTAAAGAAGTAGGTCACCCTAGTTTTAAATGTCCAAAACCTATAATAAAATGTACAAATTGCAATCTTCTCGGACATACTGCATCAAACTGTCAAAAAAGAATTACCTCTGAACAAAAAAATGTTTTAGATGTATCTATTAAAACTACACCGAATGATAAATATAAAGTAATGATCAAAATTAATGGTAATTCTATATGCTGTCAAGTAGATCTAGGTAGTGAGGTTACATTGATACGAGAAAGCGACGCTAAAGCTATAAAATTAACATGGACCTCTGTGAATAGCCCGTATTTAAGAGGGTTAGGAAATATACCCTATTTACCGTTAGGACGTACATTTGCAGACATAGAACTTCAAGGCTTAGTAGAAAAACAAGTTGAAATACTTATTGTAGCAGATAGTTTGATTAACTTGCCGGTATTATTAGGTCATAGTTTCACTGAGAGACCAAATTTAAGAATAATTAAGACTGACACATACTTACAATTTGACCGAGTAGACGACACGTTAAATTCCAAAATATCCTTGCGTTCTGGGGTTAATTTAAAAATTGGTCTAGGGGAAATGAGAGTATTAATAGTGAAATCAGATGAAGTTTATAACGGTTATGTATATATCAGGGGTAATATTAGAGGTTGTCCCGGTAATGAACACTATCTATTGCCTGGTGAGTATGAAATAGTTAATGGTGAGTGTAAAATACTAATACAAAATGTAGGGGAGCAACCAGTCCATTATAGAATCGGCAATTTGGTAACACGAGCCTATTTTTTTAATGATTGTAGAAACTATTGTTCGGTTAATTCAGTTAATTATGACCTTTCTGTTCACACGTATAATACCACTATAAAGTATGGTGAACAACTTACTGATGTTGAAGTTAGGAGCCTAAAAGAGCTTTTACATAGATATAAAACTTGTTTCTCTACTGGTATGCACGACCTCGGTTTTACTACTGTAACTGAAATGGAAATTCACCTTAAAGATGTAAACCCAGTTGTTTATAGGCCTTATCGCTTATCACACTCGGAGCGTCAGTACGTACAAAAAACTATACACGAAATGATCGAACATGGAATTATTCGCGAATCTAGCTCCCCTTACGCGAGTCCCATAGTTTTAGTACAGAAGAAATCCGGTGAAAAACGTCTTTGTGTAGATTACCGTGCACTTAATAGCCGAACCAAAAGAGACAATTACCCTTTGCCTAGAATTGATGATCTGTTGGATCAGTTGAGCGGTCAGTCTTTGTTCTCTTCCCTTGATCTCGCTTCTGGCTATCACCAAATCCCTATAGCAGAAGAATCTCGGGAAAAAACGGCATTTGTTACACCAGACGGACAGTACGAGTATAACCGTATGCCGTTTGGTTTGGCAAATGCCCCAGCGGTTTTTCAGCGTACTATGCATAAAATTTTAAATAAATCTAAGGTCAATTATGTAATTATATATATGGATGACATACTAATACCCGCGAAAACTTTTGACGAAGGATTGAAACGGTTAGAAGAGATTTTTCGTTTGTTAAAAGAGGCCGGTCTAACACTAAAAATGGAAAAATGTAACTTCTTTCAAAAAAATATAGATTTCTTAGGTTTTGAGATTGATAAAAATGGTATTCGTCCCGGTAATCAAAAAACAGATGCAGTTTCTAAATTCCCTGTACCACGTAATCAGCATGATGTCCGTCGGTTTCTAGGGTTAGCCAGTTTTTTTAGACGTTTTATAAAGAATTTTGCGATCATAGCCAAACCTCTAACTAACTTATTAAAAAAAGACGTGACATGGAACTGGACTGACAAAGAAACAGAATCTTTTGAGACCTTAAAAAAATTACTTATAACTAGACCTATATTGGCATTATACGACCATACCGCGGAGACCCAATTACATACGGATGCTAGCAAGTTAGGCCTAGCAGGAATATTAATGCAAAGAATTGACTCAAATCCTTGGCGTCCAGTTGCATATTATAGCCGACAAACCACTTCAGAAGAACAAAAGTTTCATTCTTTTGAACTGGAGACATTGGCAGTAGTTTGTTCCTTAAGTAAATTTCGTTCATATCTATTTGGAATTAAATTCACTATACTAACAGATTGCAATGCGCTAAGGTCGACTTTCGTTAAAAAGGATCTAATCCCTCGTATATCTCGTTGGTGGATACAGTTTCTCGAGTACGATTGTAAAATTGAATATCGTCCCGGTCATAGCATGAATCATGTGGATGCACTTAGTAGGAGCCCAGTCTCTATAGAATCAGATCAAGTTCATGTTTTAGACATTCTATCAATAAATTTAGATGACTGGATAGTTACAGCACAGACAACTGACGAAGAAATTCAACGCATAAAAACTATTTTAGAAGATCCCGAAACCCCAAAAATAGCAGCTATTCATAAAGAGTACAGAATTAAAAACGGCCGTGTATACAGAGCTATTGACGATAATACTCTACGTTGGGTAGTTCCCAGGGGAAGTCGTTGGCAGATTTTAAAAGCGAACCACGATGAAGTAGGTCATTTTGGTTTCGAAAAGACCCTTCAACGGATTCAGGCAAACTTTTGGTTCCCAAAGATGCGAAAATTTATAAAAAAATATGTTGCTGCTTGCTTAGAATGTGCTCATCATAAAGTTTCATCGGGATCTAAAGAAGGCTATTTACATCCCATTGAAAAAATCGAAATTCCTTTTCATACAATCCATGCAGACCATTTAGGCCCTTTTTCCCCGAACTAAGAAGGGTAATACGTATATTTTAGTTATACTTGATAGTTTTACCAAATACGTTTATCTAGGCGCAGTACGTAGCACTAAAAGTAAAGCTAGTATTAAGATTTTTAAAACCTATTTTAGTTTGTTTGGCACCCCATCTCGTTTAATAACAGACAGAGGCACAAGCTTTACGAGTCGTAAATTTGAAGATTTTATAAAATCAGTAGGTATTAAGCACATTTTAAATTCTGTAGCCACACCTCGAGCTAATGGGCAAGTAGAGCGGTACAACCGCACTATATTAACTTCTCTTAGTACTTTAAATCATGGTAAAAGTAATGACTCTTGGGACTTAAGATTACCGGAGGTACAATTGGGTATTAACACTAGTGTTCATGATGTTACTAAGAGAACGCCAACTGAAATGCTTTTTGGAAGAAAAGTAAATAATCCATCTCAGGGCATTTTGAACAGTATTAGTGATGATATAGGTAACGGGGTTATAAAAGACTCTTTAGACAAAATTAGGTTAGAAGCAAAAGATTTAATCAAATATAATCAAGAAAAAAATAAAGACAGATTTGACTTAAAGAGAAAATCAGCTAGAAAATATAAAGAGGGCGATTTGGTAAAAATTATTAGAACAATAGCTGGAAATTCAGGTCAGTCCAAGAAACTAGAACCCAAATGTCAAGGTCCATACAGAATAAAAAAGATATTACCTAATGATCGATTCGTAGTAGAAGATACGCCTCTAACTAGGAAAGGCAAGAGATACGAAAATGTAGTATCTATTGATAAAATTTCGCCTTGGTTAAGTTTTAGTGCCCCTGTCGTGTCTAGTGATAGTAGTGACAATGATAGTAATTAACAAGACTTAATTTCGAATATGTTGTAGTGATCTAATTATAATGTAAATTATATTGATTATTAAACTATGTACCTATTTTTAAATAGATTTATTTCTGTATATTAGTGAAAACAGTGATTTTTATGACGTGTGGGCATGAGTTGGCTTATGAATTAGCCGCCCAAGGAGAAGCACGTCCTAGTGATCAGTGATATAATATGGGCAGGAGTTGGCGTAGGATATCGCCGCCCAAGTGATAATATTTGAGAATAGTGGTGAAGGAAGTAACCCTATTTTCTTGATCTAGTGAAATTATTAGTGAATATAGTGATTGTATATTTATTTCTATTGTTATTATTATTGTAAACTATGAACGTGAGGACACGTTCTTTAAAGGATGGCCGACTGTAACATGCACAATAATTGTCTAACTTACAGAGATTAATTATAAAATATTTTGTAGGCTGAATGTATATTCAAACGTCAACTTTAGATACCGTTATGTCATTTTTGATTTTGACGTTTGAATTTACATTCACTAAAAGGGTATAAAAGTGATTGCTAGACAAGTAAATCGGATTCTTACGCGTAACGTCGTGGTGTTAACATTGTGAAATAATAAGTGAATTGTGTGTGTAATAGTGATGTGAAGTGAAGTGATTAGTGTGTTTAAGTGGATAAATATGAGAATAAAAGATACATATTAGACAACTGCTGTCTTTTCTTTGATTCCTTCTGAGCTCGTTTTAATATAAAAATACTGTAAAAATAACAATTTTTTTTATATTTCTATAGGAATTAGAAAAGTAGAGAATGTATGTATAAATCGTTTTTATATAATCAGCATTCACTTATTACATCGATTTTTCCCTTTTTCATGTATATTGAAGTATCTTCAAGTCTTACCATGTATGGACTATTAATTGTATAAAAAATATATATTAGAATTCAATAAAAGCCTATAGCATCGTACTACAAAATCCCAAATGAAAAATAAATTGGTGTACTTATGTAAATGTGAACTTTTTTAAAGAAATATATGAATTCGGAATTACGTATAATTCAAAATATTTTTATCTCCTACTCTAATTATAGGGTATTTCATTGCATCGAACACTTGAGAGCGACGCAACGTTGAGCCACTAAAAACCTCAATCAGTCGACGAGAGCATCATTAACATCCTAGTTTCGGCCGCGATCGAGTTGCGAAGTGAAGGAAGTTAATCATTTCGCTACCGACAGACCAATGATAACTCCTACTCCTCATTCGTCTGAATATACGTCTGTTCAATTAATTTTTCTCACCCGCTTTGCGGGCCCATACACGTATCGAGTCGCCGCGACACCCGAGCGCGCGTCTGCATAATACATCGCTGTACGCTGTTACTGTACGTCGGACTTTAATTATATATCTGCTACAATTTTGCCTTTTTTCGAGTATTTTTCACAATTCCTCCACCCCAACTCATCCCACTCTGCCGAACGGCCGCAGAAAAAAATTGCCTCGTGCGTGTGTGTAACTGATGGCTCTGCGAGGCGAGCGCTGTGACATCGCACAACGGCGCGCGGTGCGACCTGCGAGGAGGCTATCTTGAGAGATGTCCCGCGACGAAACAATTAACTCTGATAACGAACGTCGGAGTCGCCGTACAAAAATACACTTAGACATTTTAATGCAATTAAGCTTGTAGAATACGACTGCGAGAGTCCGATAAGCCCCGCTCAACTTTTCCTGTAACAGGCTGTTATTTCACGATTTAAAATCGGTTCTCAACCCGTTAATGACGCGAGTACAAGTGCAGATCGGCGGCTCCGTTCGGCCGCGGACCAATCTATTTAATAACCCCCGCCGGTGACACCCCGCCCGGCGGCCATCGCCAATTTTAACCCCCCACGTACTCCCTAGCACCCGCCCTGAAAAAAATCCGGAGCGTTTTAAAATTAATGAGTAAAAATCTACACACACACCCGCGCGGGCGACGCGTGTGTGCCCGCTCGCCGATAATACCCACTTTGCGGACCGAATAATGACTTGTAATAGTGTTCGCGGGCGCCGATGCTATCTAGGCGCTGAGCCTCTACGGCGGGCCCGCGATCGCCTTTTCCATTAGGACAAACTATCCGAGAAAAAAATCGAGTAGAAATTAAAAATTCGACGGATCGAGCGCGCTAATACCAAGCGAAGCGGTGGCGTGGCGCGAAGCGAACGCAGTTAGATAACATTTGTAGAGGCGAGGAGAGAGGGGTGTCACCCCTACGCAACGGCGTTTTTATTTTGGCCGGCCTTTGCCCCCATACCCCCTTCGTTCGTCCAACTTCATCTGAATAATTACTGATTTTTTCGTGTTCCGCTGATTATTTCGAATGTTATTTGCTGGTGATAATTTTTCGGCCACGCCGTTTGTCCGCTTCGGCTAGCACGCACAAGTTCTCTTTTCTCTACATAAATATTTTGAATAGACAGATAATAACAAAATCACATTTGAAAACAAATTTTCCCAACCTACAACTGTTACGAAACAGCAAAATTATTTCAAGCCCTTTGAAATTCGAACACAGATCAAAGCAATTTTTTCAACAATGACTTTGACATATTTCCTTTTTAAATTTATGCTATTCACTGTTAAGACAACAAAGAATCCAAATTAACTGCAATAGCCAAAACATAATAACTGTTGGTAATGAACGCCCGACCTAAAACTATCGTCTGTAATTACGGAGTACTTAAAACTCGCAAATATAAAATGAAATCGCACAAAAAAGTATCCAACACAAATGGCACCGGTTTTATAAGATACAATTATAACTAATTTAATTAGAGTAATTAATTAAAAATGCTAAAACCGATCGATAGTGTAATTGAAAATTGGCTTTGCTTTTTATAGTACACGAATATTCTGTGTTTAATTGTTCACGTTTTATTGCCTTACAATATCGTATACAAGTATAAGAGGTTAATAAACGTGTGAATCTATTCAGAATCATCTATCGCTAGTCAAAATACTCAAAGGCAAACTTGACAAAAGTTTTTAGTACTTATATTGAAAAAATCACAAACTTATTTTAATATAGAGTTCTAGATTTTATTTTAATTAATTTTAGAACGTGGCCGACTGAGGGCCGGTAATTGAACGCAATTAAAACGCTAATCGAAAACTCTAATTATTATGCTTATTCGACAAGTGACAAGTCAGGCCGATGGCGATCGCTTTGGCAAGGATTTCGGAGGGACCACCCACCGCCCTCCGGGGCCGCATTTTTTCCAGCCACCACCGAAGGGGTTGATTTTTTAAACTGATGACGCGCTTTCATTCTGCGCTGTGCAACTTGGCGCGCGGCTGTATGTGTGCCGGTCGTTGATAAATAAATAGAAAAAAAAATTAAAAAAATATATGTGCACGCTTTGTCGATAGTGTCCGTGTTCCTTTTTCGCCGCGGTATCTCTAGTCTATGGTTCCGTTCGGCCTCGAAAAAGAACTTTTGATGAACAATACAACTTTTAACGCGCAACAAATGTGTTAGAAAATAGTGACTGTGTTAAAGTGACGAACGATCGCGATACATCGATTAATGATTTATTAATACGTTTTTAAATATTATAAGTAAATTGTATTTTAATAATTAATTAATTTGGAAATACAGTTAATTTATCTAAGTCGATAATTGTCATGATAATATTGCGGACGTTTTTATTGGCTCCGCGAGTTTTGGCGAAGTTTTGAAAAGTTGGGAGCGAGCTTAGGCGTCGATTCGGGACATTCCAATAATTTTGCGAAGGATGATATATGAGACGATAGTGTAATTACGCAAAATTATTTCAAGTAAAGTGAAAATTGATCAAGTTTTTGGGAGAATGACATTGTCTTTTGTAAGTTATTTTATTTATTATATTATAACTTATTATTTTCTTATATTATATTAATAATTAAATTTAGACTGTTTCTATAATAACATATTAAAAATTATTCCGTGCGCAAAAACTTACAAAACAGGTATGTAATTACAAAATTGCTTGAAAATATAAAATTAATGCTAAGACGTAATGTTTAACCTTAATTATGTCCATTATAAATGTTCTTAGTACTATAAATAATTGTGCATATTAAATGTAATCAACAATATCCTTATTTAATTTATCAAGGTCGATATTAAATTACCTTTCAATAATACATATCGCTTATAGATATTTGTAATTTATAAAGAATAATCACATAATTGCAGTTTAACTATTTGCGTTAACGTCTGTCCGTGTGTAGGAGCTCTGTAAAGAAAACATGAAAAATATAAATTTTACCATTTATTTCCAAAATAAATAAATTTCTATGAAATTATTTATTTAAAACTTGAAATTTTCCAGCGATTTTTCTTCGTATTAAAATTGACATTTACTAATCATAAAAGCAAATATTTTCTAACCTAAGATACTAGGTATATTGTTTTTATTCTACATTTATTTCCTTGAGATAATTCGATAAACTGTATTTAATGACTATAATAATTACTATACCAGACTGGCCTTTAAGAGATAACGAAGTAGGTAATATGTAGAAATTAAATTACTTGAATGAAGGATACAAGGTAATAAGTCAAAATGAGATATTCTAAAAAAATTAAATATTTATTATTAAAAAAATATATTAAGGAATTAAAATAAATATACTTTTTTAAATTTTAAATCACAGAAAGTTACGTAATTGGGTTATTTTACCATACATACTATATGTTGCTATCTAAATTTAAATATTATGAAATATTCATTCGTTGACACACACTACGACGTTTACATCTACAATGTATATAATAATTGTATCAACAAAGAACATAATCATTATATCTAATAGCAATATCTAATAATAACGTTTAATTTTTATTTCCATACAATTTATCATGTTTAGTTACAAAGAAATAAATTAACTACAAAAACAAAGATTTATCTTAATTTCATCAACGCTCATTTTATAATTTAATTAAATAACTTCAAGACTACGGAAGTACTAAGTCTCTCTCAATATTTTCGGAGCCTAGACCAAGGTCTATTTAATTAGTCTGAAAGCCACTAGTTTTTATAATGATTCTAAATTAAATTATGCAACTCATTAATTCCACCGGCATTTTATTATGTAATATGTTGTAGCGAATCCTAAGTAAACTAAGTATATATAGTATAAGATCTCAAATCTGTATCATGGAAAAAAATGGCTAATTCCTACTAACAAGGGTTATTATAAGTATATTATACTAAAAAAAAAAATAACAAATAATAATAAATTAATATGTTGCAACATTAACACACAACACCGTCTAGTTCCATGGTAAGCTACGAGACTTATCTATACCAGATAATTGATACACTACACAATTTTTTTTGAATACATACATATTATAAATATAAACACCCATGACTGGAGTACAAACATTCGTGCTCATCACACACATATGAATGCCCCCAGCGGAACTCGAACCCGCGACCGTTGGCACAGCAAGTAGGGTCACTACAAGCTGAGCCAAACGTGTCGTCAAAATACTAATAAAGAATTTAGTAATTTAGCTCCTAAAACGATAAAGATGGTAAAATTTTGGAAAATAACGTTTTTTACTTAGACATAAATAACGAAACACATTTTAGTATTTCTAGGAATTTTAAAATTAACAGAAAAACAAATAATAGAGCCAGCGGAGGTCACTACTTTAAATGTTAAGATTTGTAAGTTCATTATAACAAGTATATTTGATTTACTGTTAAAATCTGTCGCAAAGTCATTTTAAGCATTGTATTCAGCCCTTTTTGACGTCTCACTGCTGGGCACGGGCCTTACTTCAATACGAGGGGGACATTGTCCACCACGCTGGTCAAGTGCGGGTTGGCGGGCTTGTTAGGTTATTTCAGACATGCAGGTTTCCTCACGAAGTTTTCCTTCACCGTAAGACAAGTGTTAATTATGTTGAAAATAATTCGCACATGAAAATAACAGAGGTGCGAGACCCGGGATTTAAACCAGCTTCACTTGGTTACCCAAGCGAGCGCATCACCACTGAGCTACCATTGGCTTATTAGCTTTTTTTCCTTTTAGTTGATAGTCCATGACTACTATACAATTCACTATACTTGCATCATATGAAAGCTTCACAGCTTCAATTCTAAGTCTTATCGAGAAAGGTGAAAATGTGTTATTTAACGCTACGCTCAATCATATAGAAAAGTAGTTGTAACTAATAACTATAGAACAACGTGAAGTATAATCTTTTATTCACTTGTTTGCGTGTTTAAAACACGTTCGCAGTAAAATTTTAAAAATATCTTATGAGATTTTAAGTAGCGATTTAGTTTACGTAAGGGGTTGGTGTACAAAAATTAAAATGAAAAGTTTTTAAAAATGTATCCGTAATCTTAACAAAACTTGGCAGCTTACAGTTGATTTTTTATTAGATTAATTAACTAAAATGTTAAGTGGCCACGAATTATGATATAACGTCTTAAAATATCTTCGATATTCAATAATATTAATAATACCATAGCATTATACCGATTTTACGTGTGTATTTTTTTTTTTTTTTTTTATTTATAAATAGTTAATAACATATTACGTACGAAGGTTTCTACTCGCAATATTAACAAAATTAAATTAGACAAACATATCGTGTTATATATTGTTTTATTTTTATTATTTTTATTATTTTTATAAGTGGTGTGTTGTACATAACGATAGATTAGACCGTCGTAAGACATATCGTAAGACTATATAATATTATTTTGTCTCGAGCTTAAATGTAGACCTATTAGTTCCAAATATACATATATCCTGGATTCCATATTTAAAGTATCTAATACTTTATATGACTCATACGCCATCTATTGTACACTAATGGTACTATGTCATAAGCTTTCACGAGCTTACGCACTTCAACACTCTGAAGCTTTATCATAATCTGATGAAATATTTTTAGTAAATCTAAGGAGAAACAGTAAAGAAAGAATAAAGAAACTAGGAAACACACTAACCTTTTTATTTTATTTATTTATTGCATATAATAGATATTACTCAATACACATTGAGATTTTATAACTATTTAGCTAGCAGATAAGGATAGCATTTTCCATTTGTAATACATGATTTCGCAAGGAAAATCATTTTCACTTTTTATAATAGATATAACTTTTTCAAAAATAAATTATATTTATTTATATCAAATGAAGACATCATGTTTGAAAATGTTTTTGAAAGACATGCTCAGTCCGCCCGTACTTGGCCAGCGTGGTGGACTAAGGCCTGATCCCCCTCATGTTGAAAGAAGGCCTATGCCCAGCAGTGGGACGTTAAAAATATGAATACATACACATTTTAAAATAGATATGTCATATCCAGCAGGCGGAGTCAGACCGTGAAAGCGGCGCGAGTTCGCCGGAGGGCGGTGGGCGCGCGCAGCTAGCCGAGCCCCGCACGCCGTCGCCGCGCGCGCGCACCCCACAGCACTTGAATGGCTCCAGTGAGTTCGTAACACTGATATATTATTATGTATTAGATATAAGATTATTTATAACTTACTCTAACACTAATAATTAAAATTTAAAGAATTGCTAATATTATTTTTTCACTAAGTTCAATATTTCACGTTGTGTTAGTGTATGTGTGTATGTTTGTTACTCTTTCCCGCTTAAACGGTTGGGCGGATAGACATATTATAATCTTGAGTAACACATAGACTACTGTTAGTGTGCCAAACTATTATGTACTAGTGTAGTGTAGTAATGCAGGTACACTACGCCTCCGAGCGAGTATAAATGTGTATACATATATTTTTTCAATATTTCGTATCAAGATTTCTTTGTTTGCCATTGTCATAATAACGTAACCTTGCCTAATTTGTTCTCTCATGTATGACATTATGACTGAACGATCGTATCTCCCACAGTGGCATCGATGTTCCAAAACTTACAAAACCTGGCCAACATGCAGCAGGGCATGCCGATGTCACAGCAACAAATGTCCCAGCAGATGTCACAGTTGGCCGCCAATCTCCAAGGCCTGACGTCCATGCCATCAAACCCTGTCATAAACTCACCTCTCAACTTGAGTGTTAGCGCTCCAGGTAAGAAATATTAGCAGTTTAGTACTTTATAACTGATAGACAAATCTCTTTGCATAAATGTTTTGCCTCAAAATTATTGAAAGGGAAAATGGGGTGATACCACTAGGTTTTCCCTACTTTACCCGCATGTGTCTAGTTTCAATTTAAAAAAAAATAAGCCAAGCAACTTAATGTCAGTCAAGATCACATTTTAAAACTTATTTCTTATTATTAAAAAAAATGTTAAACGTCAGACAAAAAAACAGTAAAAATCAAGTTAAATGCCTACATCAAGTTGATGTATTGATACATTGCAAGGTGCAAACAAACAAACAAGAGAATGACTTCTTTTATATCATTACCGCTAATTATAATCACTCTATATTAGGTCACACTATTCTTATATTTGCCACACGTGAATAATTATTGTAATACAAAAACGTAATGAGTATACACATCTCAGATGGCAAAATAAGATCGTGATAACTATAGCGGTTCCATATTAGCGCTCAGGTATTTAATTAAAGAAACCGCTTATATGTCAACTACTTTTTCAGCATATTACTATTCTGAATACATAATCAGACACGAGAAGATCCCCTAATTAGATAGAATGGTCTAATCAATGAGACACGGTTTGTGCATTAAAACTCTTAAATCGAGAATCACGTATATAATTAGGTGATTACCGAAACCAATCGATTAATGAAGGCAAGATAGCGGCCCCACAGCCCGCCTATTACCGTCGAGCGATAATGGATGAAAAAGTCTATTTAAATAATGAGAATAATTACATATTTTTTCATGAACGCACGGATATTACGAGTGTTGCGGTATCATTAACAGTTTTATTGTCTTAATAGACCTAATTATACATTTTTTTCGGCACTTAATTGATGCAGCGTAGGAAAGAGCGTTTGTTACAAAATGTGAAATGTCATGGTTTAAATGAATACGTTATGTTAATGTGGAGTTTAACGGGCTTGTAAGGCATGCGGATAATGTTTTAGATTTTTGTGAGACCGTTTTGTTCGCGGTAAATTAGTCTTGCTCGGTTGCCGATGGGTTTTGTGTAATTTTCTATCGTTGCTTTCTTACGTTGGGATAGACGACTATATTATTTTATTGTTTATAATTATGAATAGAAAGTCTTATGTCTGAAGCACGATTGTTTCGTCAGTGCGCTAACCGCTACCATGACGGATGGTATATCTCAAAGCAAATAGAGTTATTTAATTATTATTATTATTGTACTTTTAGCTATTAACAACTTGTTTAACGAGAAATGCAAAAGCTTTTAAGATACTACTAAAAAATTACAATTTCAAACCAAAAATTGCTTATGAATTGTTGTTTGTATAACATTTATTATCTCCATCTTTCATAATCTATCGAGTTACTTTAAGATCAAAATTTATTATATGTATAATACACAAAATATATTAATTAATAAATTGTAATAAAATAAAATAAGTGTCTCTACTTTTTCTATGATTTATTTAATTTTTTAATTATTGTCTCAGGCATGGGTTCTCCTAACCCAGTCGGTAACAGTAACATGTTACCGCCCGCCATGCCGTCGCCCATGCCACAGCTTATCTTAGCTTCAGGACAGCTCGTCCAAGGCATACAGGGGGCACAACTACTCATACCTACATCTCAAGGTATTGATATATTTTTATTTCCATAGTAATATTTTATATTTTTAGTATATTTTTTATATATTAATAATGATGAGGTAGCGTAGTACATATACTATTTTTAGAACATTTGGGTACGAACCCAACGGAAGTCTTAATTTATTACACATATTCTTTCTCACACAGTTAATTTAATTTAATTTAAGGGAAGTGAAGCGTCTTAAATTATAAAATTTTGAAGAAAATTAATTAATTTGTTATTTAAATTCCAATATACATATTTAATAGAGTAAAACTATAGGTATATTCACTAACTACATTAAACAAATAATATTTCTGCACAGGTATCGCAACACAGACCATCCTAACCATTCCCGTGAACCATGTCAACTCAAACGACCAAATGGTGAATCTAGCGTTAAACAACGGTCAAGTAGTGTCTACGTCCCTCGCTAACTTACAAGCGATGGCCCAACCCCACCAGCTTTTAAACTCCAATCCTCAAACACCGAATATTAGACCAAATATGTTGAACCCATCGCTATCTAACGCTTTACTAAACCAAGGACTACCAAATTTCCTATCAAATGGGGCAGCAAACGCCCAAGAACTGTTACAAGCTTTACAGCAACAGCCCCAAGCAAATCACAATCTCCTACAAACGGTTCAACAAAACAACATGCCCCAACAAATGCAAGGCAGAAGATCGTCATCTCCCAGACCAGATAGACATTATAAGGAGAGGGAAAACTTTGAACGATATGCAAGTGGTTCTAGAGAAAGGAATGAAAGGGATTCGGGATCCGCGATGAATAGCATTAACAGGTGAGTTTTTTGTTTACAGTGTAACTTTAAACGTTTTATCGTTTCTAGTTATGTTAACTTTATAAGGTCGCTATCGGTAGGAGATAACGAAAAAAATATATGCTCATACTAGCGTCTAGCATCACGACCCTCGGTCAGTTCGGGTTCGTCCCTAGGAACATTTTAACGTGTAGTATTGATTTTTCGGAGATGAGACATTTTTCCGCAATAAAAAGTATCCTATATGCTGACCCAGATAACCAGCTATCATCATGTGTTTAGTATTTTTCTCGCGATGCATTCCCAGACAGACGGACTGGCAAATTTTTTAAAAACTATAGATTCGGCCTCTGTATCGATAATAATAATAACTATTTCAATACGATTTTCCAAAAAATATTTTTATACAGATTCGACTCAGTTATAATTTTATTATATTTAGGTACAGATTATTTTCTGATCATGTGACTTAAAACTTAAATATATTAGTTCTTAATGCATAAAAGTTTTTGTAATATACATACCGAATTATGTATTAAAGTGACTATAATGCTATAAACCGGCCAATCTTGAAAAAATATGTTGGACTCACATAAGGAACCACCTGAAGAAATTCATTTGAAACCGTTTATTTATCAGACGTATTGCACTAACTTTTTTCCACCTTTTATGTCATAGCCCTAAATTTTTATTCAAAACAAATTTAAATAAAACACATCTATTAAACATTTTTTATTGATTTTATTTACAATTTTATAGATGTTAAAGGTGCAGAAACGTTTGAAGAACTTAATAGAAAGATAGAGACGATAAATAGTACTGAATTGCCTTATTACTATGATAATTACCGTTTACTCCGAGCCTGTAGTAAAAACATACAATTTGAAATATACCATTCTTAGAATACATATGGATAGCAATAACAAATATCTTTAATAGTACCATTGATATAAGAATACATTAATAATAATAAAATATAACCGCTATCTTAGAAAAAATTACACAACGTCATTCGCGTCATAAACAAAAAATTCTTTAGAAAATTCAAATGTGTCGTGCTGGTGCTATAATGTCAGGTTCAAATAATAATGTCCATAATAATTCGTTATGTTATAATGACCATCTATCCAATAATTGGCTAAAATAACCATATTAGTGTTTTTGAACTTTAGATAACCTATTTAGTTATAATTGCGTTTTATTAATATATGTATTATGTTTATTTATTTTTTAAAAGCTACTACTACCACTAACTCCTGACGTTTATTATATGCACATAAGAAAACATTAATAGAAAATCGAGACCTTCATACGTAAGCTAATTTGTATAGTTTTTTTAAATGAAAAAGTAAAATTTCAAGGTCGCGTCATGAGAAAACGTCACGAAAAACCGACACGGTTACCATAGTAACCGCTTGCATTAGGTTGCCATAGTAACCGTTATAATTGTCTGAAAAAAATATTTATATGATGATTGTTTCCGATCTTTACAAATTACTATTTTTACTAAATAGTTTTCAAATATGCAAAATTTTTATAACTAGCGGCTCACCCTCGCTTGGCTCGCGTTCGTCCCTTAGAGAGTATGCGATAGATGTAAAAATACAACTAGATAGAAAGAGATAAAATATTATTCTCTCCTCTTTTGTGATATATACGCTTGAATCATATTTTTGTCTGAGTGTAATATTAAAAGTTTGTATTAATTTATTATTCTTACAGATTTGAAATATAAATAACAAATGAAGTTTCACTTCTAACACGTTTCCAAAGAAACTTGATTTTTTAATTATAATTTATTTTTTTGTTTCATAAATTATAATTATAATAAGTTATTAAATTAGCATCTTTGACTTTCAGATCTTTACGTAATCGACTTATTTTTTAGTGCACTTACAAAGTTGCCTTGCTTCCAAGTAACACGTTTAAAACAAGGAGCGCCTATTATGACACTTTCTTACATTTGCATAACATTATACAGTTTTTGTTTACATTTTTGATACTAAATGAATTCCAATATCTTATCTACAGTAATATCTCTTCAGAATTAACCTATTTACTGGAAATCGATTGTAACGTCGTTAACGTTTCTTTGTTTGTTTGTTTGTTCGTTTGTTTGTTTGTTTGTTCGTTTGTTCGAACGCGCTATTCTCAGGAACTACTAATCCGATTTGAAAAAAAAGCAAAGAGAGCGGAGCAGTAATCATAAACGTCAACAAATCGGACAGACTTCCATACATTGTTTTAAAACTGATGTTTATAATCAAACAAATTTAACGCGAGTGAAACCGCGGGGCACAGCTATTCATATAATATATAACAAACAAACACAAATATATTTATTAGCAAAACTTACCTGTCTCTTCGCAACAGCCGTTTCTTAATCAATTAGCTGAAACTATTACATTCGCAGTAATAATTTAATTAAAGGAATTTGTAGTATAATTTTATTATTCACTTGCCATATAATAGAACGGCAAACACCCTTATTAGGATCTCGTTATCCTTGGAACGTTATTTAAAAGTTTTTATTATTAAGTTTGCATTTGCATATCAAATAGATTTTTCGTCCTTGCAAATGAGTCATTCTTATAGGGCTTTGTTAAGATATATAGCCAATCACACTATTAGCATTATAAACACGTTTTTGTTTCTGGTCCTTCATAATGAAACAGCTGGACGGATTAGATAGACTATGGCCTAGAGCTACATAGGCTAGTCTTTATATATAAAAGAAAGTCGTGCTAGTTTGTAATAAAATTTGCCCAAAGCTGGCGTTGTCTATATATCATATATATATGTCACTGAACTTCTGTCAAACGACTGGACCGATTTTGATGATATTTTTTGTGTGTGTTCAAGGGGATCTGGGAATGGTTTAGATTCACAATTTGAATAATAATTTTCATCTATGTCATTGAACTCCCCATAAACGGCTGGACCGATTTGGATGAAATATTTTGTGTGCGTTTTAGAGGTTCACTGCGTGGTATAAATTCACAATTATTGGACTCGGTAGGTTAGGCGCTGCATTCGGTTTCTAGGTTTTAGTTTTTATTACTAGCGGACCCGACATACGTTGTCCTATCAGTACATACCTATAAATATTTCTTCTGTATGTGTGTATGTCACTGAACTCCTTCTAAATGACTGGATCGATTTTGATGGTTTTTTGTGTTCGTCATGTTATTTGTTTTACTGTCGAAATCTATAATGCCACCCAAACAAAAACTTTAAGTTCGAGCAGGACAACTTCGTACTAATATTACAAATACAAACGGTCGAAGCGAGGGCAAATCGCTAGAGGCAAAATAAATAACCTCAATGATTCCCAATTAATTAATAGGCATAATATATTTACCTTTTTAATAACAATTAAAAAGTAACTCGAATTATAATCTAAGAGCTTAAACTACCAATCAGCTAAAACATAACGCATGTAAACTCAACGTTTCAAAATCACACGGACTAGAGTAAAATAAAATATTCCAAGCCTTGAGGGATTAAGCTTATACCAAAGTCAGCGTGGGCCATGACAAATGTTGGTTGTAATTACACGACAATGAGTGCAATTAGGCTCGTGTGTACGTTACTAATCAACGGTTTGTGTTAGAACTCAAGCTTTAGATAGAATTTGAGAGCTGAACTATGTACTTTTGGCCGATCCGACGTATTCTATTTTGAAAAATCTTGTTTTTAATGTATTATCACTACATAGTATAAAACAAAGTCGCTTCCCGCTGTCTGTCTGTCCCTATGTATGTTTAGATCTTTAAAATTTTGATGCGGTTTTTTTAATAGATAGACTGATTCAAGAGAAAGGTTTATATGTAAAATATATGCACATTATAGTACAGAAAAGCGGAGATTTTCAAAGATTTGTATTTCACACTAACCGTTAAAGGGACGAACCCGAGTGAAGCCAGGGTGAGTCGCTAGTGGTGAATACAATTATTTAAAAAGAGCTTAGAAACTTGTATTTTATTTAGTCAGGTCTTTTTGCGTAATTGTTTAAGTAAACAGGGAGTTAAGGAGTGCCTAATAAGTGATAAGGCTCTATTAGCATGTAGATAAGAAAGTTAAAATATCTTTCCTATAAGTTTTTTGCAGAATTAAATATAGATAATAGATATTGTAAATCAATTGATTATAAACTTAATAATTCAGTCACTTTTCACGTCCCACAGCTGGGCATGAACCTCCCCTCAATGCGAGTAGATTTCACCATACGTAATTAGGTTCACTCAGAGACATAGGTTTTCACACTGTGTTTTTCTTCGCGATATTAGAATGTGGTAATTGTGTTGAAAATTGTTATTAGCCCATAAAATTATCAGGGGTTAAATCATACCCCGGATTTGAACCCACACTATGTACTTGGCTATCCAAGCAACCGCTTTACCAATAGGATACGAAAAATTATCTAAAAAAGATGATTTTCAATTAATAACACATACATATACATCAATTAAACCATTTTCAAAGAAATATATAAAAAAATTGATATATTTCAAAATAAAATTTTATCGATTTAATTTAATTTTATCTATAATTTAATAATAACATAAGCTCGTAACTTTTTATCACTCCCGAGTCGTTCGAAATCGAATTCTAATGATGTAAGTGTTCTAATGATACATTCATTAACATTTGACGCTGCACTAACTTTTATTATTATTTTAATTTAATTCCATTCAGTTTGAATGATAAATGAACATCATGCAATGACAGTATTAGCATTTTAATTCATTTGAAATAGAACGGTATGGATACCGATGCTATCGGGCAAGGGTAACGTCCCTTGCTTATTACACGTCATTATAGGACTTAGAATAATTAAAATGTATTTTAATGATATTTTTTGTACAATAAACTTGAATTATATTGATTAGTTTTAGCTGTAAAGGAAATATAAATATTTCGGACTCCATATCTACTTTAAGTCGATACATTTTAACCGCTTATAAAAAAAACAAGTTAATATTTTGCGTCATACATACATACTTACCTGTACCTAAAAG